ACCCTCAGAGGATGCCCTCAGATCTGTTTCCTCTTTTCTGTACCTCTCATCAGCTAATCAGCAGCTCTCATCTGAGGTCCACTCTGACCACAGCTGCCACCCTCAGCCTCCCTGCACACACAAGTCTGGTGCCACCTGCCTGGAGCCCAGGGAGTGGATTTGTCTGTTGTGGCTGTCCTCTCCCACTGAGGTCAGGCCCACCTCCAGCTGTAGGCAGTGGCTTCTGGCATGGCTCTACATCTCCAAGGTTACCTCCTCTTGAACTTCCCTCTTAGAATTCACAAGAGACCGTGCAGAGTGGGCAGTGGAAGAAGGGCTGGTGCAGGGGGAGGGGGAGGGACCCCAGGTTCCTGTCTGGGGCAGCAGTGCCACTGAGGCCCTGGTTCCTACCTCTCAAGACACACCACTCCTCAAGGCATCTCCACTGCAGAGTCCTGTGGACAGCCTTGAGCCTGGTCTGACACCATTGCTTTCTTTTCTTTTTTTTTGCAGTGTTGGGGATGGAGCCCAAGGCCTCACACACTCTAGGCACGCACTCTACCACTGAACTGTATGACCCAGCCTGATACTACTTCTTTGTAAGGACTGTGTACCAACAGGGTCATCAGAGATAGACATGTGGCTTAAAATTGGTCTTCGTAAGCCAGGTGTGGTGGCACATGCCTGTAATCCCAGCAATTTGGGAGGCTGAGACAAGAGGCCTGCAAGTTCAAAGCCAGCCTCAGCAAAAAGCGAGGCACTAAGCAACTCAGTGAGACCTTGTCTCTAAATAAAATACAAAAAAATAGAGCTGAGGATGTGGCTTAGTTGTTGAGTGTCCCTGAATTCAATCCCCAGTATCCCCCCCATTCAAAAAAAAAAAAAAAAAAAAAAATTGGTCCTCGCAGAGCTCTTTCCAGGGTCTGTGTATTGCTTTCTATTAAAGTGGTTCAAGATGAGAAAATATTAAGAGCTCCTTCCCAACCATTCTGCATGTGAACATGCTGAGTCCACTGGTATTTTTCCCATCAGCACTGCTTGTTGTAACTGTGGCATGTGTAGCAGAGAAGCCTTGACGCCTGTCTGAAGACTGTTAATTTCATTCTCTGGCCACAAAAGGATTAAAATGGGGGAAGAACTACTTTCTTCCTTTTAAAATGACCTCATTTGTCTCCTCCTCCCAACACAGTAACTAGGCAGTGGTGACACCTTGTGGCAAATTCTGCATCTTGTCATTCCTGTGGCCTCAGCCTTGCCCAGTTCTAAGCCCTTCCTTAGGATTCTACTGCCCCCATACTCTGAGGCACTGGCAAAACAGCACTGTTTGATGTCTGTGGGCAAGTATTTCAGAGGACAAGAACACTTGAGACCTCAAGCAAAAAGCACCAAAAGGAGATGTCAGAAGAGTGGGGCAGGGAAGAGGCTGAGGCTACGGAGTGGCTGGCCCAGGGACACCTGTCCTTGGGTGGCACTACTTCCCTGCAGAAGGGAGTAAGGAGGACTTTGGGGGAAAGCTGCTGGCACATCATTTGTGGGGCTTTTTATTCTCCCTTCCTGCAGTCAGTCCTGACGTGGCCTCCCTTGACCATCAGGTCCTAAGCAGACAAGAGCATGGCAGCTGCTGCTTTTTGTCTGGATTGGGAGCTCCTCCTTAAGAACAGGTGCCGTCTATGACTCTCAGAGGATAACAAACATTTTGGCATTATTGTAGCTGCAGAAGTAACACTTGCCCATCATAAAACCACCAGCACACAGAGGTGAATAAAGAAGTGGAGTCCTCAGGACTGAGGTGCACTAAGAAAGCAATCTTACATATTTACCCATACTTCATTCTTTTGCGCAATGGAATGATCTATATTTCCTCCAGGTTCCATTGGCTTTCTGCCAAAAAAAACTCTGTAACATTTCATGTTGTACCTTTCTGTTGCTAAATTCTCTCAGCATTTTGGGTGTCTGGAAAAAAAAAACTTTAGCTTTTAAAAAATAATAAACTTTATTTTACTTATTTATTTTTGGTACTAGGAATTGAACCCAGGACCACTTAACCACTGAGCCTCATCTCCAGTCCTTTTTTATGTTTATTTTTTAAGATTTTGAGACAAAGCCTGACTAAGTTGCTAAGGCTGGCTTTTTGAACTTGCAATCCTCCTGTTTCAGCCTCCCGAGCTGCTGGGATCATAGGCATGTACCATCACATTTTACAATAAACTTTATTTTTGAGAACAGTTTTAGATTTACGAAAACAAGCAGATAGTAGAGATTCTCTCTCTCTTCTGCCCATAGCTTCTCTTGTTAACATCTTGCATTGGTGTTACACATTGTTACAACTGAAATACCAATACATTACTATTAACTAAAGTCTGCAGTTTATATTAGGGGTGCCTCCTGGTGTTGAGCTTGCTGTGAATTTTGACAGGTGTATAATGACAGGCATCTATTATTACATGGATAATACAGAATTCTTTCACTGTCCTAAAAATCTTCCACGCTCCACCTGTTCATTCTCTCTGCCCTGGTTCCTGGTAATCACTGACCATTCTACTTATTCATAATGTCACGTCATTGGAATTCCACAGAATGCCTGTTGTCTTTTCATGCTGTTTTCTTTCACTTAGCAATGACCATTTAAACTTTATCCATGTGTTTTCAAGGTTCTATAGTTCATTCTTTTTATCACTGGTTAATACTCTAGTTTATGGATATACCACAGTTGTTTATCATTGACCCTTTGAAGACTGTGTTAACTACTTCCAAGTTATGAAGCTGTCATAGATATATCTACGTGTGGGTTGTTGTGTATGCATAACAGTCATTTTATTTGTGGGCACAAATACTGGACCTTATGGTAAGACTGCCATATTGTCTATTTAAGTGGCTTTATTGAAAATCTGGCATTACCTCCAGCAATGGAAACTGCTGTTGCTCCTTGTCCTCCTTAGCATTTGGTGGTGTCAGTGTATCAGATTTTGGCCATTGTAATAGATGTGTGTTGGTACCTCATTGTTTTATAAATTTGCAATTCCCTAACTTATGATATTGAGCATCCATCTATATATTTACTCTTTTGAAGCATCTGTTTAGAGCTTTTGCAAATTTAAAAATTATATTGTTTTTAATTTAGAGTTCTTTAAAAGTCATTTATCAAATAAGTGATGAATATTTTCTTTCAGTACACTGTGGCTTTTATTCTCTTAACAGTTTCTTCCACAAAGCAGAATTTTTAAAGACATTCAACTTGCCAATTTTTTTCTCATGGACTCACACATCTAAAGAGTCATCACTCGGCCCGAGATCACTTAGATCCTCTCCTATATGATCTTCTAGAAGTTTCATGTGGAAAGTGACATCTGTATCTAGATTGTCCCCCTGGCCCTTTTTGGTTTGTTAATGTTTAGCTGTTCCAGCATCTTTTATTGAAAAGATTGCCCTTTCTCCAGTGAATTTTTTGTTCCTGTATCAAAGAAGTACTGACAACATTTGTGTGGGCCTATCTCAGGGCTTTCTATTCTGTGCTACTCATCTAGGCATTTCTTCCCCCGTCCCCCCAATAGTACACTGTCTTGATTATTGTAACTTTCTAATAAGTCTTGAAATCAAGTAGCAGCAGTTGTCCAATTTTGTTCTTTTCCATCATTAATGTGTTAACCATTCTGGGTCTTTTGTCTTCCCACATAAACTTTTTCTTTGTTAAACTGTATCATCATTTTTTCCCCCTAATTCATATCACAATTCATTGCAGACTGAATGACTCTCTTACACGTCTTGACTCAGGAATCTAGGGTCCTTCATCACATGATGCTACATCTTCAATCTACAGTCTCCAAGGGTTTGGCGCGAAGGAGAGGTCATGGAACAGGCCTGTTTGTCACTTGAACTGGAAGGACAAAATCGAAAGCAATCTGGACAGGTGGCTCTGAACGAGGCTCAGGCAGCGTGTTCCTCCGCAGAGGCCCACACAAAAGCTGGTTCAGGTGTGGAGGCGGCCACCCCAGCGGCCAAGCGCGGCCCCAGCCCAGCTCAGCTCTGCCCTGCTGCAGCGACTAGTCCTTCCTGTTCTGCACCACACGTGGCGCACCCCGACGCCCTGTTTCCTCATTTCTGCCTCGGTCCCTGCGAGTCACTTGCACAGGGGCGATGTCCTGGAGCCAACCTCGGTCCCCTCTCGGCCCCACCGCCCCTGCCGCCGGGCTCCGGCTCCGGCTCTGGCTCTACAGCTTCTCCCTCGTGCCCCGGGACAGAGGCCCCTTCTCCCGCCGACACCCCTCCCAGTGTCGTCTGCCCTCGTGGTCACTAGGCCGAGAGGGCAAAGACCCAAGGTGAGGCTCAGCCAGCTACACTGCAAAACAAACCCCTCCACGGATGCGTAGCCACTTTAAGCGCCCTCGCCGTCGCCCCTTTAACCCGCGGCGCAGGCGCAGTGTGGCCGCGGCGCGCGCAGGCGCAGAGGCGGCGGCGGATGTTTACGGCGGCCGAGGTCGGAGCGGCGTCCGGGCCGCGGACGCCAGGGACGCGCCGGAGCAGCTGCCGTCGCGGCCCAGACCCGCGGGCCGCCGAGGGCGGAGGTAGAGCCTCCGCCGCCGCCGCCGCCGCCGCCCCGGTCCCGCCTCCTGCAGCCCCGCTGCTCTCCTCGATCTCCTGAGCGCCAGCCGTCTTCCTGGTCTCCCCGCGCCCCTCCCCTTCTCCGGGGAACGTTTGCGCCCTGGCCGCTCCCGGGAGTCTCCCCCCGCCAGCGCCTCCTCTCCCCGACGCTCCCTCCCCAGCATCCCTCCCCAGGAGCCTATGACTTCCCTCCCCAGCATCCTCCCTCCCAGCGCCCCCTCCCCATGATCTTCCCTCCCAGCGCTCCCTCCCCATGATCATTCCTCCCCAGGATCCCATGATCTTCCCTCCCCAGCATCCCCTCCCCAGGATCCCGTGATCTTCCCTCCCCAGCATCTTCCCTCTCAGTGCCCCCTCCCCAGCATCTTCCCTCTCAGCGCCCCCTCCCTAGCATCTTCCCTCTCAGCGCCCCCTCCCCAGCATCTTGTCTCCCCAGCATCTTGCCTCCCCAGCATCCCTCCCCAGGATCCCATAAGCTTCCCTCCTTAGTGTCCCCTCCCCATGATCTTCCCTCCCCAGCGTCTTCCCTCCCAGAGTCTTCCTTTCTCCAGCATCTTCTCAGTGCCTCCTCCCCAGCGCCCCCTCCCCAGAGGCTCTCCCCAGCATCTTTCCTCCCCATGATGTTCCCTCCCCAGCCTCTTCCCTGCCCCACATTATGTCCTGTGGGTCCTGTCCTCCCCTGCCTTGTGCTAGTTGGGATCAGCTTACTGGAGGCCCACCACCTGTCCTTGCATAAGTAGTTCTGAAGCGAGTGGGTAGTAGGTACAGTTTGAAACAAATTTTACCTTGAATCTTTTCAGAAAATAGAATTGGCCCGAGCAGTAGGAAAAGGTCTTAAGTAGTGACAAGGAGAACTTGTCTGGGCTGGGTTCCTTTGTTCTTCTCTTCAAATTTGTCAGCTGAATATCAGCCCCTTGCCACTCTTGTGCCTACAGAGGTTGTCTTTGTTCTTGTCAGCAAGAAATGGGTAAAGCAAAAGCACTTGGTAGCCTGTCATTCAAGAGTGAGGGATGCTGAATGCCTATGAAGGCTCAGGAATTGTGGCTGCCTATCCCTTTAAGGTGGTGGGGTTTTCCCTGGCCCCACTGGTTCCTCAACTGTGATGTGGCTGGGAGAGTGTTTTGAGAAGCCAGTTTTTCTCGCTCTCTCTTTCTCTGAGAAACCAGTTTCTCTCTCTCTCTCTCTCTCTCTCTCATAAACCAGTCTCTCTCTCTCTCTCTCCCCCCCCCTCTCTTTCTTCTTAAAATTCCAGTTTTTAGAAAGCTTTCCTGTGTGTTTAGTAGTAACTGTTTCCAACATGGACCACTGGTTAGGCTTTTCTCCATGAATAGGAACTTTTAAGGATTCTGGTTCTTAAGAGGAGAAGCCTGTTTTCCATCATTCTGCCCTCAGGATGTGTGCTTTTGAGTCCCTATCCCCAGCTCATCCTCTTCATAGTTCCTTTAAGAAATGACCTCCAGATTGGACCATGGGACCTCCTTGTGAAGATTGCCAAGACCAATGTAATTAGGAATGCCCACTTCCATAACCACAGCTGTACTCGTGTTGATATAGCCACAGTCACAGACCTTCCCTTGTGGCTGTAGCTCAGTGCATCTTCTTCTTGCTGGTCACTACTGGGCAGGAATGGTATTAAGGATTTCAGCAAACAGTAAAGTACAATAAGGGCAGCATCCTAAAAGTGCTTTTCCATTAGTTTGAGAAATTGGATTTAACTGATGCAGTGGTAGGATTTGGTTTGGTGAGGACATCTTCAAGTATGTTGTGGGTATTTTTGGTGTGTTGCGTGATGACTGATTACATCCATGTCTGCAGTTAGCAGTGATCTATCCTTAGGAAGGAGTGTTGGATTATAGGATAAAGCCAGTAAGAGTACCACACCCACTGTACCTGTGGGTAGGGTTGCCCTGATGGTCAGAGGGTTAGCAAGACATTTCGGGTAAAGAGTGTTGCTACTCTGTCAGTTGCATTGGTGTAAAAAAACACAGGGCTAAGGCCACATGGTCCTGTTTTGACTGCATGCCCTGGCTGTATGATTGTGAGCCAGGTAACTGCTCTTCTCCAGCTCATTTATGTGAGGTCACATCTGGCAGGTGGCACCACTAGAAAGGTGGTAGCTGTTTTTCTAAATAGCTGCCCTTTGATATGGAATAAACTTTCAAAGTGAGGAAAAGTTCAAAATAAATGATGCTTAGTGAAAATGAAGCATGTCTAATGTACAGTTTGTGCTATCTCATAAAAAGAAAAGAGCAGTGTTGAGATACAGTGACAGAGCATTACATACAGGCTTTGGGGTAAAGAGGTGGCTTTCCTGACCCGACACATAGTAGGGTATATGGCTTTCTAAATAGGCCATTAAGAATCTAAATGCAGGACTCCACTGTTAATCAGTGAACAGAATTGTCAATGATTGTGACAATTGACTATGCCAGGCTAGATAGTGGTGTTTCTTCAGAATGAAGCCGCTCATCCAGGATTAAACCCAAATATTAGCACATAATCCCCGTGTAAGTTGTCTAGCGTGGCTGTCATGGAACTGTGGCTCTGAAACAGCTTCAAATGGGGCTGACGTGTAGTATTTGAATTGTGGTTTGAAGTCTCATGTTCGGCCCTCAGATATTGATCATGGAGATAGGTAAATAGAAGAGACACATTTTGTTCACCTGCTCTAAGAGGCTGGAGATTCACACAGGTGGTGTTTGTATTCATTCTGGCTAACTGCTCTTCTACAGTTGTCTGCCCAGTGTTTCCTTGCTACCCTCATTCTGTAGTTGGAGACCCACAGGACTGAGAGGGAGCACTGCAGAGTGTTTGAGTTAGTCTTCCTGGGGTGGTCTTTTCCCCAGAAGTTGCACCTGAGTCACCATCTTGTGTGAAGAAAAGCTGAGGCTTTGGAAAAGGTGCCTGGGGCCAGGATGAACTGTTTCAGGAGGAGTGGGAGCACTCCAGGTGAAAGAGCATTTCCCTGTGCAGTAGATGAGGACTCAGTGTTGCAGAAGTTGGGCTGAAAGGTGACAGGCAGGTGCTGCACATTTTCCTCCCTGAAAGTAATTTGGGAGAAAGTAAGAAATGCACTTTTGGGAGAGTTGGAGAACTGCATGGTGCCTTCAGAAGTGGGCATGGGGAGTTCTGGTAGCTGCTGATCCTGCTCCCTAGCTTCTAGCTTTGAAGTTCATTTTGTGCTTGTTACAATAGGTGTTTGCCACAATGTGTTCTCTTTGGGAAGAAAGTTTTGTTGATATTTTGTCCAAAAATTGAACATCAAAATACCCAAATGAACACATTGGATGTGTTTGACTTAAGTGGGTCTTTTTGTGTGTAGAGGTGTAGAATTACCAGACAAAATTTAAGACACCACTTAAATTTGAATTTCAGATAAACATCCAATTTTTTTTTTTTTTTTGTATTATTGGCTTGACTTTATAATTGAACTGGGCTTTTCTTCTAAATCTGGTATCTTTCATCTAAATCTGGAGGGTTGGGTAGTTAGACAAAACATTTCATCTGTATTATTTCCAGAGTTGAGAATTTGAATTTGGTATATTTAGATCTTTTATTGTTTTGATCTTATTCTTAATGTAAATAATTCTTTGATTTTGGTTCTAGTCTTGCCTGAGTGTAATTCTGAACATGGGCGGTGCGGTGAGTGCTGGAGAGGACAACGATGAGCTGATTGATAATCTGAAGGAAGCCCAGTATATCCGGACGGAACTGGTAGAGCAGGCTTTCCGTGCTATTGATCGTGCAGATTATTATCTTGAAGAGTTTAAAGAAAATGCCTACAAGGACTTGGCATGGAAGCATGGAAACATTCACCTCTCCGCCCCATGTATCTACTCGGAGGTGATGGAGGCCCTGGATCTGCAGCCTGGGCTCTCGTTTCTGAACCTGGGCAGTGGCACTGGCTACCTCAGCTCCATGGTGGGCCTTATTCTAGGTGAGTGTAGAAGGAGAGTGTGCAGCTCCCTGGATCATTGCCTGAGGTTGCTCTCTTTGGGCATAAAGTACAGTCTGCTAACTGCATGTCCTGTGAGAGACTTGGCCTCCCCGAAGTTGCCAGAAGTGTCGTCACGGTATGGTGGGTGGCCAGATGACATGCATCCATGAGTCCCAAGTTCTTAGGGCCTCTCTCCTGTCTCTTCTCACTTTCAGCCTGCAGTCTGTCATGGCCGATGCACCACCAGGAGAGGAGGGTAGATCTTGAACTTGTGATTTCTTGACTTAACCACTGTGTTCCCTTTACTCCTTTCCACTGAGAGTCATTATGGTCCTTGGTAGTTTAAGTTTTTCTAAGTAGTTTCTATTTGTTTTATGTTTGATACCGAAAGAGTAATACCTGTAAGTTTATACACTTTTAAATAAACTTTAGGAATGGAAGCAGTTTCATAGGTTATCTTACTTGAAGCCATTTAGCTCATTTTCCTGAACAATTTGTGGCAATCATGTGGGAATAAGGCCATTTCTAATATTTATAGCGGGGGGATCAGATATCCAAGGGTTTACTGAATGTTTGCCCTGTGTAAAATGCTACACTGGGGGAAAGACATGTGCTCTTACTCTGAGTGAGGTGGGATGTGTTTGCTAGGGAAATGGAAGGAGTGGCTCTGTGCTATGAGAGATGCTCTGAAGAGGAATTGGGCTGGGTCGCTACAGCAAGCTGAGTGGGAGACCCTGGATGAGGCCGGTGTGGTGTGGCTACAGTTGGCGTTTTTTGATATTGGATCTGATGGCATTTGCTGTTGGACTGTTTGTGGCTATGAAAGAAACATCAGGAACATCCATAGTGTGCTGGGTGTGGGCACACTCCTGTGGTCGCAGCTACTTGAGAAGCCAAGGAAGTGGAGTCCCGTGAGCCCAGGAGTTTGAGACCAGCCTGGGCAATGCAGCCAGATTGTGTTTCAAAACAAAACAAGGATGTTCACAGTGGCCTAAGTATTTGGAGTATGAAATTCTGAATATTAAGAACGGCTTACAAGTCAAGGAGAACTCATCACCATGTATGTCAGAGTCCCTGCTTTTTGTAATTGTTGTCACTCTGGAGAACCCTAAGTCACAATTGATTTTTTGTGGATATGGAATAAAAAGTTTAGATTCTTTTTTAAGTTTGTGAACTTTGGAATTTGGTGAAATTTGAGACTGGGCACTTGGCTCTAGGTTATAGATTGTTGTCTTCAACTTTTAAAGTGTGTACGTTTTTGTTTTTAACTTAATCTTCTTACTCAATTTGTTTTGGTTGAGACTGTTGTGGTTGTCATGCTTTGAGAGCACAATGCCCAGATGATTTATCATTTTTAAACTTGCCAGTTATAGTCTCCCTCCTCATATCAGAACAATTGGAGGAACCTTGGCTAAATTGGTGTTTTTTGGGAAGTAGACTTTAAAACTGGTTAGATTAGAAATGCTATTGACAGGAGAAAGATGCTTGGAAAGCCTGACTCTAGCAAGCTTGGGCTAGCCTGCTGCTCTGGATGCCCTAGAGGTAAAGAAGAGAGTGCCTGCAGCTTGATGCTGTAACCTAGACACCCTAGATACTGTTGCTTCTCCTTTCTGGGTCCCCTGGGTACTGGGAATTACACTTGAGGTCTGCAGGAAAGCGTGTGTCTTCTGCTGTGGTGGGTGTGGGCAAAGCAGCTCTGGGGTGTACTCTCAGTTCAGAGTCTTGGCTATTTGCATCCAGATGCCCCGGTGTATTTGGCCTTTTTGCCACCTCACACACCTTACTCCAGAGATCAGACCTTGTTGGCCTTCCAGCACCTGTGCACACTAGGTCTGGGTCTCCTTTGGTGCAGTGGCCCTCCTGACCCCACTGCCTTCCCCTGGTTCATTCTATCTCACCTGCCTCCCTGTGCTGTTCTGCAAGCTCCTCTCCCCTTAGCCACAGTTCTCCTTTACTTCTTTCTTACCAGTGAGGGGTGGATGGTGGTTCATGAGATAACATGCCTGAAGGAGGGACTTGTATGTGGGAGCTGCTCTGCTTGGAGGGGTCTTGCAGTCTGACCACAGCATGTGTGGTACCATGTCCTGAGGCACTACCCTGCCCACCATATCATGCTTCTCTGCTAGTGGAGGATCTGTTACTGCTGTTTGGTGGGTGAGCTGCTTGGGAATAGGGACCATGTCCTGTATCTACTACTAAATAGAAGTAACTACTTAGCATTTTCTATTTTTTTTTTTTCTTTTTGGAGATGTGGTATTGCTAGGTTGCTCAGGTTGGTTTGGAACTTGTGGGCTTAAGGGATCCTCCTGCCTCTGCTTCTCAAGTGCTGGGAAATCAGGTCTAGTGAATGTTTGACACTGAAGTTGGGGGATTAATGAGAAAATGATGGAAGGGGGTCAAGTGTACACAAGCTAGACTAATGCGGATTCAAGTCAGTGATTGGCAAGGGTCTTAAAATGTGAAACACTTTAAGGTTTGATGTCGTAACTAGCAAACATAGTACTTTTCAGGAAGAGTGTCTTGATGAGGGAATGTTTAGCAGCAGCTAAAGATGTGTGAGAGATACTAAGAGAAAAGAGTAGATGCTTGGCCTGGGGAGAGGGCTGTCCAGATGTATCCAGGAGCCAAAGTTCAGATATCAGGTGCATGGACATTTGCTCATTCATCAGTATTTTCTGGTTTGAGTACCACTCAAACAATGCCACATACACTGTGAGTGCAGTGTGTATGTCTAGTAATAAAATCCTACATGCCCCATGGGTTTGCTCATGTTGAGTTTTAGTGATGGGTAAGGTGAAGCATGGAGTTTGGTGGACTTCTATATCCATGTCCACCTCCAGGTAAGCACCACCCAGAACAATGTGCAGAGAAGGTGCTCACACCCTGCCCTCGTGCTCTGTCTTCCTTTGCATTGTTGAAATGAGCCTGGGTTGAACTTGGTGTACAGAGGTGTAAGCTGCTTGTAAAGTGTTCTCTGCTTGCCCCAAACTAATCTAGAAGCATGTTTACAGGAGGGAGTGCTTTTCCTCATCATGTGGGCTTGTGAATAGTCTCACAGTTTTATTTCAAATTATGGATACATAGCCAGAATTGGTGGCACACTCCTGCAATTTCTGACAATCTCCTGAGACAGGAGGATTACAATTCAAGGTGAGCCTGGGCATCTTAGACACACTCTTGTCTCAAAAATAAAATAAAAAGGGCTGAGGATGTGGCTTAGTGCTTGCCTAGCATGAACAGGCCCTGTGTTCTCTCTCCAGTACATCCAGAAAGCAAACATACAAACGAACAAAAAACTTATGGATACATTCCCTATGATACAAAAAATGTCTCATTGTGGGGCTGGGGTTGTGGCTCAGCAGTAGAGTGCTTGCCTAGTATGTGCGAGGCCCTAGGTTCGATCCTCAGCACCTCATATAAATAAATAAATAAATAAAATAAAGGTATTGTGTCCAAGTGCAACTAAAAAATAAATTTAAAAAATGTCTCATTGTGCCTTTTAATAATAGTTTTATTCTAACGGTAATTAAAGCCTGTTTTGTGAGAATTATTAAAATGCCTATGAGTGTTTTGGGGATCCTCTTAGTGGGAAACAGAATTGCCCTAAATGCTGCCTCTGGACAAGCACAGCTGAGGCCTCTATCTGTCCCATTTGCATGTTTACTTTTCCTCTGTAATTTAGTAGGAAGACCCTGAGCTCTTGGCTCCCCCACCCCATTTTCAAATGATTCTTGTTTGAGAGCAAAGAGACCCGAGCATCTGTGTTGTGAATGGGGCTGCTGTATACATCGAAAAAGTGGCTTGAGGGGTTTAGGCCTGCCATTGTGCTAAGACAGCAAAACCTTTTGGGATTTTGCTGGATGTGGTAACCACCCCTGTCCTCCTAGCAACTTGGAAGGCTGAGGCAGGAGGAGTGCAAGTCCCAGGCTAGCTTAGGTAATTTAGCAAGACCCTGTCTCAAAATAAAAAATAAAAAGGGCTGTGGTGTGGCTCAGTGGTAGAGCATTCGTGGTTTAATCTCCTGTAAAAACAAAAAACAAAAAACCTTGTGACTTTATATATAATACATGCTAAGTTAGATGTGTTGCAATTAATGAAGTAGAAAAAGCAAGCAAGTGTTCTTTCTCTAGTGCTAAAAACTTTTTTATTCTGAAACCTTTTAGGTCCTTTTGGTGTGAACCATGGGGTGGAGCTACATTCAGATGTTATAGAGTATGCAAAGCAGAAACTGGACTTCTTCATCAGAACAAGTGATAGCTTCGACAAGTACGTCAGACACTAGAGGGTGTGAAATAGAATTTAAACTTTGGTCAGATAGAAGTTGGCTTGAGTGTGCACCTGCCTGCAAGCATGCCTGAGCTGTGTTGGCATGATCCCAGGTCATCCGTATGCCTCTTCTGATTGTTTATATATTCTGTAAGGACTCTAGGTTTTCTGATTCCTGTTTAAAGACAGTTTTTCACTAACACGAGAAGAAAACAAAAATTTTTGTCTTGCTAAATTTCCGTGTTTCCAATATAAACAACTTTTTATCACAAATTTTTTTGTAAAATACAGTTGTTCCTTTTGTCTTTAAACAATTTATATAACTACTTTTTGCCACTTTAGGATAAGGCATCGAAGTTCTTATTTTAGGAATTAGACTTTTTAGGGAAACAATGTTCTTTTTCCTTCTCTCCCTCATCAAGCCGTCCAGCTGACCTTGACTATAGGCCACTTTAAACTTGGGGCATGCTCATGGTGTTTACTTGCACTGTGTGGGTTTTGGAATCGTGGCTTCAGCTCCCAGCTCACAGTTCTCTGGGTTTTACAGTGAACCATAACCTGTGATCAGTATGAATTTTTGTATGGTCTTATGGCAGTATGGTACAGTCACTTAAAGAAAACACATTTTTCTTTCCAGGTTTGACTTCTGTGAGCCCTCCTTTGTTACTGGCAATTGCCTGGAGATTTCCCCAGATTGTTCTCAGTATGATCGGGTGTACTGTGGGGCAGGTGTGCAGAAAGAACATGAAGAGTACATGAAGAGTCTTCTCAAGGTTGGAGGAATTCTGGTCATGCCCCTGGAGGAGAAGGTCAGGCTCCCTGCAGCTGACATTTTGTGCCCTGTCTGCCAAGGTCTCCTCTGCATTTTATGTAGATATACCCTAGTAACAGCTTCTACCATCTCGTGAGCTAGGAGACAGGCAGTCACAGGCATGGTGTTGGGCCAGCTCTGACTTAGATGTGTGGCCCTCCCTGTTCCTCTTTTCCTTCTCTCTCTCCTTCTTCTCACTCCTTTTCTCCCCTCCTCTTTCCTTCCCTCTTCTCCTCCTTCCTTCCTCACCCTAGTTATTCTAATTGTTATTACAATTGTTCTAATACCAGAATTGTAATTTATAAAATTATCAGAATTATTTCATTTTGTTAGTCTGCTTGTTAAGTACCTTGGTGGTGAGTACTTTATAAGAACCTCTGCTTCCTGGGAATCTTGTTCCAAGGTTCTGGTTTGGCCATGCATGTTTGTATGTGTTTAGGTACTGTGTTTCATTGGGAAAAGAGATTATAATACATGGGCATGTCAGGTGTGAATTGGTCCTCAGGAGAAATTTCTGTCAGTTACAAAGAACCAGGAAAAAATAGAAATGTTATAAATTAGGAGGTTGTGCACTTTTGTGCAATTTTTAAATATTAGCATTTATTTTGTTCCAGAAGTAATACCCATTTTAGAAAATCCAGAGAATATGAACTAAGAAGAACTGCTCATAGTCTTAATTTAATTACTATCAGCATATGATTCTTGGAACACTTTTATTTTACTTATTTATTTTTTTGGTACTGGGGATTGACCCGGGGATGGGGGGGATTTGCCACTGAGCTACATTCCCAGCCCTGTTTCATTTTTGAGACTGAGTCTCAGATCTCATTAGGTTGCTGAGGGTCTGGCTCAGTTGCTGAGTTTGGCCTTGGACTTGTGATCCTCCTTTCTCAGCCTTCCAAGTTACTGGGATCACAGGCCTGTGCCATTGCACCTGACTTAATTCTTTTAATCTGTGCTGCTCCTTTTTCAAAAAGATTATTGAACATACTGGTTATAACTGACATTGTTTTACCTATCAGAGTCCAGGAATGTGATTTTAAGTCATCCACTATTCTCCATCATTTTGGTGTCTACACCAAAATGCTTGTTGAACTGTTTATTACTGGCTACTATTTTCAAGCATTAGATGGTGTGTACTATCTCACTATTAGTCACTCTTTATTATAAAGACATTAGTGAATGCCCCTAGGTTTAAAAATTGTAAATATTTTAGTATGTCACTACAAAAGATAAAAGCTCTGTTTTTTTAAAACATTGTTATAAGACCATTTGTAACATTAATAGCCAGTAGCCATTGTAACTTGTTAATATATTCAAATATCCAGTTCATTTTCAGATTTTCCTTATTGACTGAGAAATTTCTTCCCTGTAGCTTGTTTGAAACGGGATCGTGTTTAAGGCTGGTGTGATGCCTTTGGTTGGTACCACTCTGAAGTGCTTTTAGGTCTAGAGGTTCTCGCATCTTTCACTTTCATTTTTTCTTTGCAGCTTATTTGTTCAAGGACTCGCCTTGATGTGTCCTGTAGACTTTCCTGCAGTCTAGGTTTTGCTGTCCTCTGTCCTCTGTTTTTTCTGTGTTGCTGGTTGGATCTAGAGACTTGATTAGGGTGCTGTTCGATATATTTTGGGGCGGAGAGCACAGGAACATCTGCCAGGTATTGAAATATGCAGTCATTGTTTGGTACCCATCCTCTGTTCAGGATGCCCACATCTACGGATGCTTAGGCCTCTCATATAAAATCACGTATCGGGCTGGGGTTGTGGCTCAGCTGTAGAGCACACACCTAGCATGTGCAAGGCCCTGGGTTCGATCCTCAGCACCACATAAAAATGAATAAATAAAACAAAGGTATTGTGTCTATCTACAACTAAAAAATCAATATTAAAAAAATCATGTATCATGTCATTGGCATATAGCTGATGTGCATCTTCTCGTCCCTTACAACACTGATACAATGTAAATGCTTTGTAAATAGTTGTATACTGTATTGTTTAGGGAATAAATAACAAGGAAAAAATATGTACATGTTTGGTAACATTGTTTCCCTGAGTGTTTTTGATATGTGGTTGGTTGAATTTCCGGATGCAGAAGCCTTGGATACAGAGAGTCAGCCTGACTTTTGTGTGTAGGCACATCAGGCCTGTTGTCTATTTTTTCTGATGCTTGTGGCCATGATTTAGAACCTGATGGATTATTTCATTAGAAACTGTAGAATAATACCCTTTTGATTTTATCATTTCTTCTTTATTTAGTAGCTATTGTACTTCTATGAAGAGAAAACCTCTCATTACTAATTAGATTCCCCTAAGGTAACTTTATACAAGAGAGAGAGGATAAATTTTGATTCTTAACTTTTATTTATTAATTTCTCAATAATTTGATCCTCTAACATCTGCCAAAGGTAGTGATCACTGAGGTTTTGCTTGCATTTTACCATCTTTATGAATTCCTAGATTGAACAGGCCTCATGTTTTAGTACTGGTGTGATTCTCGCCTGTCTTGGGCCAGATACACCCTCTACCTCTGTGATGGCTATACTGCTTTCTGGTGAGAAAAGGCATTCCAGGGTCAGTCTGTGTGGTTTTGACCTGAGGGTTGATATGTTGGTGGGAGTTGGTGTTGAGAGGCCACAGCTGGGGCCCAGCGTGCTCATTGACACTGGGTTTGTGTGTGCAGGGATTTGTGGAGCCAGACAGTTTTGCTTGGTGTGGAGATAGAGTGCACTGTGGGTTCGTACTGGCAGCTTCCAAGCAGATTTCAGAACCAGGGACTTTCTGAGGAGCCAGTCTTGGCCACAGTGCCACCCTTCTCTCTGCTGCTTGTCTACCTGCAGTGACAGTGCCACCCAAACTAGTTCAGACCTGTTCAGATCTTACTGCTACCCACCCCTCCACGCCCCCGTGCCAGGGCTCAAGCCCAGGGCCTCCACAAGCCAGGCAAGTGGTCCACCACTGAGCCACACCCCAGCTGAGATTTTACTTCTGACGCACAGCTTACTCCTTTCCTTTCAGTTTTTAGGGGTTGCCATTCTAGGTGTGTACTTCCTGAAGTGGTTACGAGGCTCCAAGTCTAAACAGGGACTTTTTTTCCTGGCTTGTCCCTTGTACCCTTGCCTGTGGTGACCACTGTGTGGTGTGCTTTTAGTATAAATCTCTTTGCTTAAAAAAGTACGCAGGCAAACTTCTTCCTAACCCTCCTTCAGTGCTTCCACTGTCTGCCCACCCGGCCATGTGTGAAAAGGGTTTGTAGTTTTATTTATTTATTTTTTGTAGATATTGTATCTATTATTTCTAAGTATTTGGTGTTCACAGTATCTAGAAATTCTTTGCCACTTCCCGTTGTCTATTTCTAAAACCTTTTGTTGGTATAGAATGAATATGGTTTAGTGATGGCACTTTGGCTCACTCATCCTCTGCTGTCACTGACAGTGCTCCCAGGAAGGCCTGTGTGTACACCTCTTTGTGATGTGACTATCCTTGTATCTTCTCCAGGTACAATCTCACAAATATTTTAGTATGTAACTACAAAAGATAAAAGCTCTGTTCTCCTCACAAGTAGAAGAGCTTGCTCAAGGCTGTGTGCTGTAGGCTTTGCCACTTCAGATAGTGCGGTCAGTGCAATGGGAGTGCCGTGTGCTGGCCAGCTGCTGCCTGCGTGGCTGCCGCTGCCTCTGAGGGCTTGGGCACCTGTCTCCTCTGCTCTTTCCACTCAGTGTTGTTGTAAACATTTCTCTGCTTACACAGGTGATGTTATCACTCTGCTTTGTGTGACAAAAATGCACTAAATTTTTCATTGGAATCATTTTATCTCCAGATAATTTTGAGGATTGTGGACATAGTTATAATATTTATAATATTTCTTCTGTTCGTCTAGAATATGAAATGGGGGTTTATAGTTTTATTTAAGGTCTCACACATCATTTATTGATTATATTTAAATATTTTATGTTCATTATAGCTAGAAGTTCTTTTTAAAAATATCAAAGGGGCTGTAGTTGTGGCCCAGTGGTAGAGCACTTGCCTAGCATGTGTGAGGCACTGGGTTTGATCCTCAGCACCACATAAAAATAAACAGAACAAAGGTGTTGTGTCCATTTACAACTAAAAAAAAAATTAAAAAACTTTTTGCTAGTACATGAGAAAGTAATTAACTTGTTGATATTTATAGTACATGGGCCAGGCATGGTGGCACATACCTGTAATTCCAGCCACTCAGGAGGCTGAGATGGGAGGATTGCTAGTTCAAAGCCAGCCTCAGCAACTTAGTGAGACCCTATCTCTAAGTAAAATACAAAATAGGGCTGGGAATGTTGGCTCAGTGGTTAAGTACTCCTGAGTTCAATTCCCAGTACAAAACACACACACACACACACACACACACACACACACACTACATGGCTACTTAACCTTTTATAGGATTTGCCAGCTTAGATATTTTCAAAAGACTAACATCTAATTTTAGCATGATCAAAAATAGTACAGTGACCTGTTTAGGCTGTTTGGAAACCAGCCTAGGTGGCAGCTTTGCTGTCTGATTAGGTTTTCTGGCCCTTATCCTCTATTTCAGAAGAAATGTCTTGACAGTCAACACTACAGTGTATCACCACAAATTCCTGTGCACTGTGAGGGGCCTCAGGACATTTCTCCAGAAGGAACAGAGTAGTCGCCCAGGTGTCCAGAATGACATGGAAAGTTGAAGAGTCCAAGTGCAGCCATGCCTGCCCTTGGTACTTTTCCTGCACCCTAGTTGTGGCCAGGATTCAGGATTGGGTGTGGCTGGGCTGGGGTGGGGTTGTACATTTTCAGTTACTTTTCCTAAAGTTAGCCCCTCTTCAACCTAGAAGAGCCCAAGAAAATGTCTTATGAGAATCCCCACTTTTCTGATCTCTGGTTATTTTCTCCCATTGTCCTTTCTCTAGTTTCTCTGTCACAGATACTTTCTGTAAACAGAGGTGTGTCTGGGGCCTTGGGTAAATTCCATCTTAAGAATTTTTCTAGGAATACTCGTGAGCTGTACTCATGCAGTATCATGTTAAGGTCCATGTTGTCAGGCAGTTTTATTTTAGTATATCTGTTTTATTTATTAGAATGATTGCACTCACAAGCTATCTAGTAGACAAATTTTTTGGATATTCTCATTTTTGTCTTTGGGATAGTTGACCAAGATAACGCGTATAGGCCCTTCTGCTTGGGAAACCAAAAAGATTCTGGCTGTTTCCTTCGCTCCTCTGGTCCAGCCCTGCCACTCGGAGTCAGGAAAGTCCAGACTTGTCCAGCTACGTGAGTAAATGCACCGTATTTGACGTACAGATCTTTTAATCTCATTAGAAATTCAAAAGGAAACAAGATTTATAAGAAAATTGGATGTTCACTCCCCACTGAAACCTTAAGATTGTACAGGGGATTTTAGGCATTTAAAAATTATAACCTGTTTGTCACCCATCTTAGGTTATTTTAGGCTTCTTTTAAATCTGTTAAGGGCTGCTACTGGTCATGCCATTGATAGCAGTGGATTCTCAGAAAGGGAGCTAGCGGGTCCTGCCTTTGGACACTGAAACCACTTGACTCATTTACTGGGAGAGAGTGATCACACTTGAACCTGCTGCCAGCTGGGCAGACCAAGGGCGGACAGTGTCCATGCTCCTCTGCCATTGTGGGTGGGCTTGCTGTGAGCCTTTGCATTTCCCTTCTTCTGGGTGCAGAGCGGAGAGGAGCTGGCGCCAGAGTAGCATTTCTCCTAGGATTTTATGATTTAAACAGTTCACACAGAAATGAGAGTTCCAGCTGATTTGATTTAAAAAAGAGAGAAAGAAAATATCACACATAGTTCCAATACCCAAAGAAGTATACTTTAGCAAGTTCCTTCCAGAAATATTTTTCAGATTGAGAGGAATCATTATCAAATAATTATACTTTTCTAGTCATATGACATAGATTGGTCCTTAAAATCTGATAACAAGCAACAGTGGAAGCAGCAATAGAAGGGGCTTAGAGGGACCAAGGAAGGTTGGATAGAAGGTGGTGGTTGTGCTTGGTCTTGAGGTAAAAAGGAATTCCCTAAAGAGAGGAGGAGGGGAGGAAAGGTCTTTGCAGAAGCAGGGCAAAGTTAAAAGTGCATATTCCCAATGTGGTCGAACTTGGGCATTTGGGAGAAGCTGGACTGGTGTGTAGGTAGATCTGAGTTCACCAGGAGGCTGTGGAGGGCCACCAGACATTTAGGTGTGCAGCATGTTGCCTGCAGGGGGAGTCTGTCAGATGCATGTTCTAGAGATCTGAGCAGCGTGGAAACTTCTCAGCAGATGCTGCTGTTGATAAGGGAGGTTGCTAGAGCAGAGTTTAGGAAGACAAGGGCTCTTTTGGAGTGTTTATGAGACTTTTTATTGGTCTTATTGAAAGTGTTTCTGTGGGAGGCTGAATCAGCCCTGGATAACGGTCCTGATGGCAAGTTGGCTGTCTGAGATGCTTGTTCTGAGGGAGGCCTTCAAAGCCAGTGCTGGTGGTGCATAGTCACCTAATGCTGCTTAGGGTTCCCAAAGTAAGAAAGATACTCTGAACTTCTGTCTTCCTGGGCCAGAGTTTCCTAGATAAGTAAAGCCAATGGAGACAGTGGGGTAGGAAACTGGCAAAGATAAAGCCAGTGTACCATGAGGGTGTGTAGCTTAGACATGCCCCACTCGGGTCACCTCTCAGCTGGGTGGATAAGCAGGCAGGCTAAAGACCAGAACCAGTCAGGATGCTGTGGGCTCTGCAGTGAGAAAGGTTCAGGGGTGCAGACCTTTCTGAGGAAGGACGTGGGAGCCTGAGGTGTCCCTTTTGTTTTGTGGCTGTTGTTTGGGCCTGGACTAGAACCTGGGGAGCTGGTCTCTTACATAAAGCCTCAGAATGGATGTGAAACCAGGGACACAGGCATGCCAGGAAAGGAGGATGGTGGACATTGGAGCCTTAGGGAACAACACTGGGGGTGGCAGGAGGAGGGGTTGTGACCTAGGGATAGCTGTCCCTGTGGTGTCTCAGGAGCTGGGTGGCCATGAGAAGAGCCCTGTGTGCTGCTGTGCATGTTCACTGTGTGCCAGTGTCACTCTGCCCCAAGTGCCAGATGATCTTTTTCCTTATTGTGCTCTGGGGATTTTGTTTTTCTCCACTTTAATAAAAAAATTTGCTCTTATCTACTTTAACAAGAAATGGAACAAATACTCAGTTTAAAAGTTGCTAGAACAGTGTTAAAATAGATGGAAGAATGTTAGCTCTGCTGTGTAACCCTGCATGGGTTAGTACATGAATGAACACAGTAAATGGTGACAGCTTGTCAGTTAATTCTGCCAATGACCCGAGCCAGGCAATATTGCTTTCTCTCCTTTTCATTGTTAAAAATTAGTGTATCTGAACTTGCTTTGGGAAAACCCCAGAATGCAGATTAGAGCACTTATCAACACTTGCTTAAAAGGCGCTCCCATTCTGCAGTGCTTGTGAATAGCCAGTGAGTTCAGGTGCCATTAGGTTCAAACCTTCAGGCTTTGTGGTGTTGGCTCAGACCCTCTTGCCCTCTTGCCGTTTGCAGCACCATTGGCTGTCCGCAGCCTCCAGGACTTGGCCCGCATTGCCATCAGGGGCACCATCAAGAAGGTCATTCATCAGGAAGCAGCGAGCAGAAGTGGAAGTGGACTGAAGAACACGCCTCGGTGTAAACGAAGGAGGGTCCGCCGCCGTAGAATGGAAACAATTGTCTTTTTGGACAAAGAGGTCTTTGCTAGTCGTATTTCCAACCCCTCCGATGACAACAGCTGTGAAGACTTGGAAGAAGAGCGGAGGGAAGAAGAGAAAACCCTGCCAGAGACCAAGCCAGACCCTCCAGTGAACTTCCTACGCCAGAAGGTCCTGAGCCTCCCTCTGCCAGACCCCCTGAAATACTACCTGCTTTATTACAGAGAAAAATAAACTTCTATTTGAAGGGAGAAAGCGAGGAAGAGCCGATTGGAGTCTGATTGTACCGTCTGAGGTGTCTCCTGGGAGCAGATGCTGTGGGAAGGGACTGCTGTACTCATCCGTGTCGTAGTTTTCTTTTTCTTTGTGTCTCTAAAGTTCTGATTCAGTGCTGTGATATCTTTAAACATGATCTGACAGGATGTATGCTGCATAGAAGAGTGTTTTCCTCAAGTCAGGCGGTTTGGTTTAGCTCTGCTAAAACACTGAAGTGCAGCAGAGACGATGTTCTGCCGACTGCCCCCCTCCCCCATCCCCTGCAGGTGCATGCACACATCAAAGTGCACCTGAAGCAGAATTGCCTGTGGGAGGTGAAGCTCAACTTTGTAAATATATGAAATCTTTTCTCAGTGTGATGTATCACTGCCCAGGTTTGAATTTTATGGTATTGGCCTCTTAATTACTGGCACTGAGTTCTGCTGAACTTGGTTTTCTAGAGGGGAGACATTATTGAAACACCCTCCCTTATTTCAACCAACTTAATTAAATCTTATGTGAGTTGTCAGCTGTAATTTTTGAAAGGAAAAATTGTGTGTGGGGGAGCAGGAATAAAAACATCAAACTGCCAGCTGTCTTTTTGGAATTTCAAAGAACTTCCAAGAGTGTTTTTCTGACCCCTTTTGCTACCTGAATTGTAAAGAACCACTGTCATGTGATTTCCTGAAGCATATCCTGAAAACAAAACAAGCTCTTTATTTACATGTGTAAGTAATACATCAAGTTGCTTCTGCCCTGCCCATCGGGATGATGATTTATCTCACGTCTTTAAAGACTATGATGGATTCCATGGTGTTGGGTTGCCCAGTCCTCAGCAGGTAGAAAGTAAATTAGGGAGCATTGCAGACAGCTTGTGCTGCTCGACTTCAGTTTGCTGTCTCTCTGTGATCACATTAGAGTATTGATTCATAGATTTATCTTTTATAATTCTAGAGAAAAAGAGATTTGTTAGTTTTGTAAGTTTTCTTAACAGATGTATGTATTTTGGTAGCTCCATTGCATTAGAACAGTTCAGCTCAGTGATTTGTGAGATCCACCTTCTCTAGGCCTTGTTTTGAGAGCTTTCTATCAAGTTGTGGGTCTAGCAGTCAGATGGCAAAATGATTTGAAGTTACTGATTCCATTGCTGATTCTAAAACATTGGCTGTTGTTAAAGATTTTTTTTTTTTTTACCCAAAGAATAGACTAGTGTAAACTGTTAATAATGAGTGCATGTGCTGACGTAGGGTCAAGTGTCCCGGTGTTGGTTCATCTTCCCCGGCATGAGCTGACTCACAGGGAGGCCTTTGCTGTCTCTCTAGGTATCGTAGCTTGACTGGTTATTTTGGATCTTTTCTGCTTTTTGATTTTTAACACAATATAGTCTGCATGTGTAGCTGGGAAAACATATTACCCTAGATTGGTAAATATACACTCGTTAAAGAAAGTCAGTTTATAGTTTTTACCTGCCTTGTAACTCAGAACCAGGCTTCATTGTTTCAGAGAGAAATGCATGATTTAAGTTTATTTGCTGATACTTTGTAGTTTGCAGATCCTGTTGACACTATTCTCACTGACGTGTAGGCTTCTCTGTACATGGAAATCTGTGGACATGATATTAAAGAATGATACCTGTGAAATGTTACATTAGGTGGCTTGGCTGATTTTCCCCCCTATAATTATATATGGAGTGCATTTTTTAAAAACCACGTTTGCCTTTATGCTAGATTATAAAAATCACTATAATACATAAGAGATGTTTCCCCTATATGTTAAACTTTTTGTAGCATTTTGTGTTTGTATTTTGTTGGTTTGTGATTTTTAAACCAGAATTCAGTTAAAAATATAGTTGTAATATATGTGAGAAATAGGTTGGTGTAAAGGAAAATTGTAAGTAAGTTTTCTTGTGATTAAGCACCTCACACCAGAATTCACCATAACACACACTTTGTTTCCAGAGGTGTCGTCCTGTAGTTGTCAGCAAGGCCGTACCGTCGTGTCCTGATGGCTCTTTACTGTTAGGGTCTGTGTTTTCACACAACTTATCTTGAAAAGTGGTAAAAGCCATAGATCTGTGCACAACAAGTATGTAATATGAGAGTCAGCATGTACATAAAAATCCTTTCTCCAGCCTGGAGATCCAAGAAATTTGAAACAGTGATTTTAATGAGCTGACATACATGAATAAACACAGTGAATAATAAAGGTAGTTATGATGTTTTACTCTCAGCATTGCTTCTGTTTCCTGTGTGGGATTTAAATTCTCGACTGCATTCTTTAAAAAAAAAAAAAATCTCAAAAAATACTCCTTTCCCCTTCATTAGTGTATGTTTCTTCTCACCAGGTACTTGGATTGCTTGGTTCTGCAGCATTTATAGTGGATGTAGGGAAGACCAACCACTGTTCCTAGTTAATAAATGAATAGGCAACTCGAAACATACTTTGAAGAATGTCTATTAGATGTTTTGACACAATTTCCCCTTATTCTGAGGATGTTAAAAGATAGCATGTGTCTTAAAGTACAGGAAAGTTTTTATTATTTACTTCAATTAGTGCAGTCCATATAAAATTTTATATTTGTATGTAAATATTTAAGAATGTGCTATGTGGAAGTTGTATGCCATGAAGATGAAATCTTATTTCAGAGACTTACATGAAAAACATAAAAATGTAAAGAATAAGTGAACCAAATGGATCCAGGGATCTGAACTTGAGGTCCCAACAGGAACAGGCTGAATGGTGCAGTGGAAAACAAACAGGTAGGGATCACTGAGAATCTGTAGCTCCACCAAAGCAACAAAAATGGTCAGAAAGTTACCTACTTTTAAGTATTGGGGATCTAATCAATGGGCAGGACCCAGGTGAGAGCTCTAACATAATTACAGGAAGAAGACATTTTTGCTTGCTGGCCTTGATGAGTGGGATCAGGGGTTGAGAGTCAAGGATCAACATTAAGGTCAGGATCAAGGGTTAGGGTAGGGGTTAGGACTGGAGGAGGTGTGAGAGGTAGGATTTGTCTAGCTCTGTGCTTCAGAAGCAGCAGGGTGGAGATTCAGTGACCACTCCAGGGAGGCTGACCTCTTGTCTCTCCTTGTCCTCATCCTCCCATTGCCCTCCCAAGATTTGAGAGCTGAGGCCAGAGTTCTGGGTAGAAATGGAAGTGACCTCTGGGGCTGGGGCTCAGTGGTGGAGTGCTTGCCTGGCATGTGCAAGGCACCAGGTTCGATCCTCAGCACCACATAAATGTAAAATAAATATATTGTGTTCACCTAAAGCTTAAGAATAAATATTAAAAAAAAAAAAAAAAGAAGTGGAAGTGACCTCCTGGCAGTGCTGTGACCTTGAAGGATCCTGCTTCCACTCCCACTTTCTTGTGGCGTGGGTGTAGGGAGGCAGCTGTGGTCTGAAGAATAGTGGATGGAGCAGAATGAATCTTGTGTTCTCCTAAGGCTGCCCCAGCAAAGTATCATAAGTTTGTAGCTCAGAACCACAGAGCTGCTGTCTCACAGGTATCAAGTCCAGATGGGGAAGTCACGTGTCTTTGGGGCCTTGCCCCACACTGAGGCACAAGAGGAGGGTCTGTTCCAGGTGTTGCTCCATCTTCTGTAGTTTCTTGGCTGTGGCAGCAGAGCTCCACTCCCCACCAAATGTTTTCCCTGCGTGTGTTCCCTTTTAATAAAGACAGCCATAATGGATTAGGGACAGCCCAGAGGATCTCATGTTAGCTTGATCATCGGCAAATACCCTATTTCCAGGGCTGGGGTTGTGGCTCAGCAGTAGAGTGCTCGCCTAGCACATGCAAGGCCCTGGGTTTGATCCTCAGCACCACATGAAAATAAATAAGTAAAACAAAGGTATTGTGTCCAACTACAACTAAAAAATAAATATATTTTTTAAAATGCCCTATTTCCATATGAGGGTACCCTCACATGTGCTGAGGCTGAGGACTTCCATATGTGAGTTTTGGGTACATGATTCAACACAACAGTGTTCCTGTCTCTGCCAGTGGGCCCCATGTCCCCCACACTCCGTGGATCCTCCTGGAATGCCCCACCCCTTTCCAGGTTGGCCAGGCAGAGCACAGCAGGGCCTAACTGTCAGGCTTGGGACTGGTGTGGGGTTATCCACCCAGTAGGGGTATAGTGAGATAGTTCTGTGTTGGATGCACTGAAATATTGAAGTAGGATAAAATGGAGGCCAGTCTGTGTCTAGGTAATGAGCCATGGGGACAGGTCCCTGGGGGCTGGCAGGAAGAAATACTTGCCATCCCAGACTCCAAAGGCAAAAGCCTCTCTGCATCAGGTCGGCATCCTTCCTGTCCTGTGTGTCCAGAGACTCAGGTTTTGTGGGGAGCCTCAGTGGAGCCAGGTCTGGTCAGTGGGGGTGATGCAGGTCTAGAATGGATCTTCAGCACCAGAGGGTGAGAAATATGTGATGTGAGGTGAGGTGAGACACCTCTGCTGTAGTCCCATGTAAAGCGTTAATGTGAATCCACTTCTTGGAGTTGACCCAAATATTTGTCATCATGCCTGAGAGGCTCCTGAGGCTTCTTCTGCGACCAGGTAAGTGACACCCACAGCTGGGGCACTGTTGTATGGCCTAGACACAGGCCCATTTGACTCAGATTTTCCTTGAGTGGCACCTGGAGTCTTAACCCTGGGCTGGAGACTGAGTAGGGGTATCGCTAGGCTTCTGGGCCTCCCCTTCCCTCTGTATCCCTAGCAGAGCTACTGTGAGCTCACCTGACAGTACTTGAGCATGTGGTGCTCATTACCTGCTGATTTCTCCTCACTGAAGTAGGGTGTAGAGAATCAGATGTGACTGCGTTACTATTACTGTCCTTGATGGAGTCTGCCTGCAAACGGGATATTCTGTCAAGGTATAGATAGGTAACAGCGGACATGCTTGAAAACAAGGTGTCTGCTGTCCTTGGGAGGACTTGCCTGCAAACGGGATGTTCTGCCAAGTGGGCTAGGGGGGCGCTGAGAAAAATTTTATTATCTGTTTTTAACAAAGAGTAGAGCTCAGCATACTCCGGGCCGAGAGTAGATTAGCCATGAGAAGAGGGTCACTTCTGATTAGAAAGTAAACTTCTGTGTGCTATGTTTAATTAGCTGAAAGACCTGATTTATTGCTGTTGGAAGGCTGCCTTCTTTGTTCACAATACTATAACAAGATCGCTTGTACACAATAAAGGACTTTTTTTTTTCCTGCTGCTGCTTTGCTTGTTCTGCTGCTTCTTTCTTTTCCCATGCTGACCTGCAAGTGAATTACTGCAACATTTGGCATAGTCGGCAGGATCCAGCACCGAAAGGGCAAGCACCCCGGGTTAAGAAAACGAAAGGAGGACTTTCAGAACTAACAAAATATCGAAAGGTATCACCCCCGGTTGAAAGAGACTTTAGGGGGACTTTCAGAACTAACAAAATATTGAAAGGTATCGCCCCAGGTTGAAAGAGACTTTAGGGGGACTTTCAGAACTAACATGGGAAACTCCCAGTCCTTAAAGGAACAATATTGTAGAGTTACTACAAGGATTATCGTATTCCATATGTGTGAAAACATCTCATAAGAGACTCAAGGAGTTATTTAAAATTATAGAATGTCATTGTCACTGGTTCCAGTATCAAACTAAGGTCCAGTTAAATTTAGGGGAATGGAAATTGGTTCAGAAAGAGCTCCGTAAGCAGCATCAGGCTGGGAATGTAATTTCTTTGAAGATTTGGACATTGTGTAGCGCTATTACTCAAGCATTACAATTATTAGAAAGCAATAATGAAAATGACTCTCTTTGTGAAAGCCAAGTTAATACATCAGAATCTGATAATAAGGTTAACAAAACAGAGCCCAAGGAAGATATTTGTGATACTATAGATGACTCTCCTAAATCAGATCTGGGTGATGAAGAAGATTCAGAAAGTTCAGATAGTGACTCCAGTATGAAAGAAATTATGGAAGCCTTTGTGGAAAAAATGAAATTAAAAAAGCAAAGGTCCTCTCTTAAACCTACTACTCCTTCTAATGCTTCTCTCTTTCCAATGACAGAGTATAGAGTTGATGTAGGTAGAGAACAACAATGTTTTTCATTTCCTCTTACTATGATACATGATGATGATGATCTTGCAGCTCCCCCTGGTGGTTTTGTTGATCCACCACATTTGTTTCCTATAACTAGACAACAAAACCTTCAAAATCCCCCAATGATTAATGTTCACTATACTGCAGTGGAATACAAGTTTATTAAGGATTTAAAAGCTGCAGTCTCTCAATATGGCCCTCAGTCTCCTTTTGTGTTAGGAATGTTAGAAAATTTGGGAACTTCTAAATTACTTATTCCTTTGGATTGGGAGGCATTAGCCAAAACAGTTTTGGAGGGATCTCAATGGTTACAATTGAGAAGTTGGTGGGAAGATGAGGCACGAAAACAAGCTCGAGAGAATGAGGCTCAAAATCGCCCCGGGACCTATGGAGGATAAGTTAATGGGGGAGGGTAATTACTGTGCCTATAGAGAGCAGGCTCAATATACAGATCCAGATCTTCAACAAGTTCGACAGGTTTTCTTAAGAGCTTGGAGATGTGTGATACCCACTGGTCAAGCACAACCTTCCTTTACTAAAACTGTACAAGGGGCTACTGAACCTTATACTGATTTTCTTGCTAGACTGTGTGTTAGGTCGGTGGCGACTTGGTGGCGACTTAGTGTCAACTTAGAACAAAGCAGCCTGCGCTGGAAAAGAACATCAATCAGATGCCGGCGGAAATGCCTGTCAATCAGCCAGATCTCCTGACTAACACCTGTCAATCAGCAGGACCCCCTGGCCAATCCTGGAGTTCAGCCAACTCCCCTGACCAACTCCAAGGGGCAAAGGGACCCTAGAAACACCTTTTCCTGCCCCAAGCCCTTCACTTCCTGCTGTAAGCCCCATAAAAGTCCAGTCCGGTCAAACTTCCACGCGGTTTCTCCTCAGACCCTTCCCCTGTCCCCTCTGTGGGTCTGATCGAGTTCTGCCCAGGAGTGATATCTCAATAAAGCCTGTTCAGCGGCCCTTTTAAATCTGCCTCCTTTGGTCGCTGCCTGCCCCGCCTGATCTGACACTGCGTACTGCTGTAATGAGGGCAGTGAGTCAAGATCAAATAGCAAAGGTATTATTGGAAACATTAGCATTTGATAATGCAAATCCTGAATGTAAGCGTATTTTGGGGCCATTAAAAGGGCAAAACACCTTAT